ACCTAATCCTCGATATCGCACTAGCTGTATTTTTCTAGCATTTATGGACCATCCCTCCTTCCTTTCTATTATATTTGGTTTGCTTTGATCTTTTGTAACCTAGTTATTTGTTTAGTTGAGTCTATTTTTAGTAGAGTATTTAGGCTTTACAAATGCCAAATAGCAAGGAGGTCCAAAAAAAGGGGTAAAAGTATTTGTCATATTAATAATCCTATCACACCCTCTACATTCAAGTTAATGTTTATATCAGGGTTAGATTAAATTGTAGATTATACTAGCTTTAGTGTAACTATAATCTTAATTTTATTAATGACAGGAGGCAAATATTTGCTTAAGTCTCTCTTTACTAGAACTCCACAGCAGCACATTAACATAGAGATAAAAACACCAGAGACAAAAAAATCAGGAATCTATAAAAGGCTTCTCCCTACTAACTATTTCCTCTTTCACGCTGCGACAAATAAAGTACATAAACAATACACCACAAATACAATAACAGGAGAAACAAACATAACATAACGATGAATGCCATCCGAAATTGAAACCGTGGAACCAGTGGGTGAAGCCTTCTACTTTATCCTGTAGAATAGTCGGATCTAAGAACTGTAGCCAAACCATTAAACTGAAACGAGATAAACAGAGTCGAAAACACTGATTAGCGAATTAAATGTACTGAGAAAACATGAATCCCCATCATAAAATACTGACTGCACCATATCCCAGATAAACGCCAACTCCCCCAGATAACCAACCTAGCCCAGGAGACCAGATGAATAAACAACAAGTCAGTCAAACCAACAAACAACAAGGGGAGGGAGAAACTGGGAGGGAAATATTCGCCTCCTGTCATTAATAAAATTAAGATTATAGTTACACTAAAGCTAGTATAATCTACAATTTTATAGCATGACAGGAGGCTTCATATTTGCTCTTTTAACGCTTGGACAGCAAAGACCAAAGAAACACGATCCGCCGTACCAACCTAAACTCTGCAAAGATAGCTCCTCGTAACCGGCAGGAAAGCGTACGATGTCATGGAGAAAAACGCCCGCCATGTCAGTACCTGAAGTCGCAGTGTTACGGACTGAAGTGAACCGAAAAAACCTATACGTCCCACCAATGCCAACCACAACCAAGCGGTACATGAAGGGCGAGAAAAAGGGAAGAACCATTTAAACAAACAGTGGCGTCGAAAACCGCCTAAAGGTGGGAGCGCTACCAAAGTAAGAATATGACCCTTGGGTCTGACTAAGGCTGATAGACAACTAAAGTCCGAACCGCCGAACCTATCTGAAAGAAAAACAAGGTATAATAACAGAAATGAATCCAGAATCAGTGAATGGGCAAAACCCGACAGAACCTACCATAGGACCATGACAAAAATGCATGTACCCCCTGGGGAGATGAATACCCGTCCTCAGGAATCGTAAAGGGAATTCTAAGCAGAGCGAGGCCCGCCGACAACAGTCGTACGCGCTACCTAATATAATTAATATGGCAGTCCCCCGTAATAAAGTGACCGAACAATACCCGAACCCTGTAAAAGCGGTAGCAAAATTAGGAGATCCATACCAGACCCAACTACGTCAAGGTCGCCATGCAGACCAAAGTCTCATAATGCCCGAGATCAAATGAGCAAGGGTCCAGGGAATCCAGGAACTAGGTTCGACTCTGCCGAAGCGAAGATCATAATTCCAAAGTAGCAGCAGACCGAGGCACCTGTAGAAAGGTCCTGAGACCAAACAAACGGATGAGACTCGTCCGCGTCTCCGTGTCGAACACTCCTGGAGGGAAGCGTCCATCGCTGAGCAAACGGGTCCGTCATCCAGCCGAACTGGTCGGGGCCTGATGGGTCCCCCTCCGTGGACTAAAGTCTTGATGCCGGGTCCTCCTAGAGAAAACTATTCCATACGTACGAGAACTCGGGCAAAGGAGAGCATAGGAGGCACCCCCTTGCGTCCAATCCACCCTCCAGGACTCCACTCCTTGAGATGTAGAGGAGGTCGATAACGAAAACGAAATCCAGGAACTCAAACAAGGGAAAATGCAGGGAGCGTCTGACCTTTCGGTCTGGGAGGTACCTCGCAGGGGGTCCGGCAAGCCCGTCCAGGTAGACCGTACAGCAAGATGTCCTATATCGATGAGGAGTCGCGTCCAGGTTCCAACGCGTGGAGAACGAGAAAGATCTCTTCAGATAGTTCTGAATGTCCTCAATTCCTCCCAACCTGCCAACCAGGCTGTATTGTCGCCCAAATGACTGATGCACAAGATACCTATCTCACCAGGGAGAAAATAGAGGCCACCTTACCAGAACTCGGCCCCACGGTCCATAGAAGTTTCTTGAGGGCCATGTCTAATTCAAAGTAACTAATGAATATACGTTCAATCGTAGACTCGTGCCGGGACTCTGAGGGACTCAGATCCCTTTATCCCAAGCACCTCCAGCGGTTCAAATTGCATTTAGGATAGGGTCGTCTGCCACCTCAGACTCGGGGCCCCGTCTGGGATGTCATCCGAAAGTGGAGGCAAGTGTGAAATTCCGGGTCAACGGTCCAATCCCCTATAAAAGGTACGGGTTGGAGCTGAGATAAGCCTCCGTCAAGTATTTCCATGTAAAAAAGGACACATCTTATACTTCCTCGTATGTTCTGCTAGCACAACTCACTCATGTAGCGGAGAACAATCGGCTTGCCAGTGTGGACTTAATAGTATAGGCACTGCAGTGGGCCGCACTCAGGATCTCCTGAATACTAGACAGGTGCTTAACCAGCAAAACCGCAGTGCCCTATCGGGGTCTAAGTCTGGTTTTGCGGCTACTTTGTTCGGGAGCCCGGCTGGGAATACCGCTCAAATTATCCTGCGGGCTTCTCAAGCCAGCGGTCTACGGGCCCAGAAACGCACCGATGATGTTAGGTGCTCGGGCAGAGTACATTCCAAAGAAACCAGGTGAGCAATGGATCGAGGGTCGAAAAGGGGTTAATTTAAGGCGATCCACGAGACGACCTCTTCTTCCACGGTCGTCGGGGCCCCTGTAGTGGACTTTGTTCTACATCTCATGGTTCCACTAGGGGCCATCATCATAATCCACACCCCCATTGTCCTCTCCCTCCGAGGGGAACCGGTCCGCCCGCCATTCAGCTAGGGCGGCCATGGTGGAGGGGGGGTTATGGGGACCTTCACCCCTTGCGCCACATAGGCAGTGTCGTCTGGCCGTCAAGGCCGATCGTATCAGGGCTAGACACTTCTCCGGAGTCTAATCTTTCTGGGCGTCTGGTTCTGGGCCTTCATCCTACCCGTAGTGCTTATGCGCCCTTGCCTGCTCTCCACTCGGAGAGTCTGACTCCTTCAAGTCGTCTGCCTTTTTAAGAAGGTGGTTACTGCCGCATCCGGTGGTCATCCCCTCCCCCGCGCCATATAGGCAGGGCTGTCTGGCCGATTGCAGAGGGGTTAGCCACTCCTCTGAGTCTTATCTTTCCGGGAGCCTGGTTCAGGGCATTCACCCTTCCAGTAGCGCTCATGTGCCCTTGCCTGCTCTCCTCTAGGAGAGTCTGACTCATTCAAGTCGCCTGCCATTTAAAAGGTGGGCCCTCTAGCGTTATGCTCCTGATAAGCTTAAAGGACCACTATAGTGCCAGGAAAACATACTCGTTTTCCTGGCACTATAGTGCCCTGAGGAAGGGGGAAAGGGGTAATAACTTACCTTTTTCCAGCGCTGGGCGGGGAGCTCTCTGCTTCCTCTCCTCCTCCGTTACGCCCCGCCGTCTGAATGCGCACGCGCGGCAAGAGCTGCGCGCGCATTCAGCCGGTCTCATAGGAAAGCATTTACAATGCTTTCCTATGGACGCTGGCGTGCTCTCACTGTGATTTTCACAGTGAGAAGCACGCAAGCGCCTCTAGTGGCTGTCAATGAGACGGCCACTAGAGGAAATAGGGGAAGGCTTAACCCATTCATAATTATAGCAGTTTCTCTGAAACTGCTATAATTATGAAAAAATGGGTTAACCCTAGAAGGACCTGGCACCCAGACCACTTCATTAAGCTGAAGTGGTCTGGGTGCCTAGAGTGGTCCTTTAAGGGACGACCCTGGCTGAAGTCTAATTCCACGGAGGCGGTCACTGCCATAGTAGTCATTGTCTGTGCTGTTAACCCGGATAAGGGTTCTCCTGTGCAGCGGTCCCAGGCAAAGCGACCTCAAGGAGTATAGAGGACAAGTGTCCCCCGGCAGGAAGATAGGGGCAGCACCCTATATAGTGACCAAGGCAAGTTCGGCAGCTCATGCTATGCACTAGCGTGAGTATGTGGCAGTAGGCTTGGCATGCAGACATTCTGGCACAGACAGCACAGGCCAGATCAATGGGGCACAGACAAAGCAGGCCAATCAATGGGGCACAGGCAGAGCAGGCCAATCAGTAAGGCACGGACAAAGCCGGCCAAGTCCTGGGGCACAGACAAGTCAGGACCTTCAGAGATGTACAGGTGAGGAACTGCGCATTCCATTCTTCCGATAAAATGTACCTCTCGCTCTTCAGATAAGATGTACATAACACTTCTTCAGATTAATAGCACATAACACACTTCTGTGTAACTGTAATTAACACTCTTCTGTGTAACTGTACGTAACCTTCTTCTGTGTAACTGTACATAACACTCTTCTGTGCATCCGTACATAACATCCTTCTGTGTAAACATACAATACGTTCTTCTGTGTAACCGTACCTAACGCTCTTCTTTGTAACTGTACTTAACACTCTTCCGTGTAACTGTACATAACACTCTTCCGTGTAACTGTACATAACATTCTTCTGTGTAACTGTACATAGCATTCTTCTGTGTAACTGTACGTAGTATATTACTATGTAACTGTACATAGCCTTCTACTGTGTAACTGTAGATAGCATTCTTCAGTGTGACTGTACCTAGCATTCCATTGTGTAACTGTAGATAACGCACTTCAGTTAATCGTCCGCCGAGCGAGATCCTCTGCTTCCACCCCTCCACCCATGCCACGGAGCAGTTATACCGCACGCGGAAGCGTGGGCCGGGTGGGGGGTGGAAGCAGAGGATCTCGCTCGGCGGACGGAGCCGGCGGGCGGGATCCAACACATGGGACCGCTGGAGTCTTACTCCGGGGTCCTGGCGGTCGGCAACGGAAAGCGGTCGGAGGACCGCTTTCCGGCAGCCGCAAAACGGACGAAAAGTGAAGTGGGCAAAACCACCAGGAAAAGGTAGAGGGAGGGAGGGAAAAAAGGAAACCCCCCCAAACCTGAGAAAAAAAACGATCCCCAGACAGGGGGGCCCAAAACAGGAAAATGCAGAAAAGTCATAAGAGAAAATACATCCCTACAGCAAAAAAGTAGAGACAGAAAAATGCAATCTAAATAAATAAATCATAATGGCAGTAGGAAGGTAAACACGTTCTAAACAAATAAATCCCTGCAGCCATAAGAATGTAGATGCATAAAAACAGAGTAAATAAATCAATCAAGCAATCAGTACAGCACTAAGCAGGTAGGTGTAGAAAATACAGTATAGCTAAATAAATCATTCCCTATAGCACTAAGTAGGTAGATGCAGAAAATACCCTCTAAACAAATAAATCAATACAGTAATAAACATATAAATACAGTAAAATATCCACAGCCACCCATATAAACAGGAGGCAGTGGTACTCTGACATGTACTGACTGCGGAGCAGCAAAGAAAGAGGAAATAGTTAGTTGGGAGAAGCCTTTTATAGATTCCTGATTTTTTTTTGTCTCTGGTGTTTTTATCTCTATGTTAATGTGCTGCTGTGGAGTTCTAGTAAAGAGAGACTTAAGCAAATATGAAGCCTCCTGTCATGCTATAAAATTAATATTTTCTACATTAGTAAACTAAATGCTATGTATCTAATGTATATTTCTTTAAATAAATATAAATAAATATAACATGTAAAAATACTAGCAAATGCTGTAGTCTCATTGATGATCTTTAAAAAAAAAAAAAAAAATGAACCAAATGTCACATGTATAGAGATGAAAATGTGTGAGTGGAAAATAAAAGCGGTGAAATACCTGATATTCTAGATTGAGAAAAACTGGAACTTTCTGAAAATCAGATGCAGGAAATCAAATGTTAAAAGTTTGATCAGGTGAAAAATAAGCATATTAAATCTGATTAAATGTGATTGCATTCTGGTGTAAGGACTGTTCTTCCATCACTTCTTTGATTATAAAAAGCAATCTGGGCTGTGAGCTAGAAAAATTGAATTTTTAACAAAAAAAATCACAGAGTTTAACTTTAGAATATTATATACACACACATATTCCATTATTTATTTTAATGGTGCAAAGTGAAATAGAGATATGATTAGATAGATTTAAAGATAGGTATTGCATGTGTTTGTGTTTTTGTGCGTCTGTGTATGTGGTATCACAATAAATAAGTGTGTGTCCTTAAAATATAAAATAATGTATAGATGCACTAAATCAGAAATAAGGACATTTTGGTTGAGTTCAAATCCTAAATTCACTTTTGTTATTAAAGTTAAAAATAGATCTTGTCATGTAGGCGCTATGTACCATTGGGACTGAGTTGGGTAATCATGACATCTTTTAATCAGCCACTGATATGGTTAAAATAGTACAGGAGAGATTTATCAAGGGGAAAACAGGTGCTATTCTGGGACAAAAAGCTAAATTTGGAGCTATCACCATGGAAACAAATACAATGTATCCCATCATTTAGTTCTTTACACTTAGAACAGCACCTGTGCCAGCTTGATATTTCTCCTCCCACATCCTAGAAGTTTTTCTAATAGCACCTATACTACAGCAATGAAACGCAGGGAGGAGATTTATTAAAGTTTATGTCTAGTTTTATTCGAATTTACACTTTTTAATGGCATTTTGTTTAGTAGGCAACAAATTAATCAATCTTTTTTACAATTTTTCTAATAGAAAATGTTTTGTTTTACTTCACATTTTTTCTCTATTCTAAATTTGATGGTTTTCTGAAATGGAAATTTCTGCAAAATCTGTAGAAATTTATTGTGAACCGTCCCCTTTTTAGAAAACTTTTAAAACGCTTTTTTTTATTTTTTTTTATTCTTTATTTATTTTCTAAACAGACATGATAAACACATATAGACACCCATGAGTATGGACACAAGTATGGCAGCGTTAAAAACATAATAACTTTTTCTGACTATGTTTTTTTTAAAATGTTATACAATACTTACTAGTTGTGTTAAAACCAGTAGGGCAACTGTCAGGTTCAATAAAGGAGCACAGAGAAAAACAAAGTGTAAAAAATAAAATATTGAAGAATAAAAGTGAGAAGACCTAATGTGAGAAAGGTACAGCTTCAAGAACTGGATTGAAGTGGCAAATTAAGTGAATGGAGATGGGTCAGGGGTAGGTGGTATGATAGGAGCTAAGATAGCAGGGGAAATCCCAGTCCAGATAGGCCTCAATATCATGGCCTTTGCTATGAACATGGTATGTGTAGCAAGAAGTAAACTTTTTGAAAAGAAAAACCTAAACAACTGAGAATGAGTCCCAACAAAAAGGAAAAATATATAAAAGTCAGGTAACTGCCATACTGGATGCACCTCTGGTTGCAAGAACAAATGGGGCAATAGCAAATATCTTGCAAATGAAATGTGGCAATTCTGCTATGGTAACACTGTATGACAGGCCTCTGATCTTCAGGTGTTTGCACTTTTTCTTGTCTTCCAGGGCCGCCAGTTGGTTGGCTAGGGTAGCTTGAGGTAGCTTGAGCAAAGGTCTTTCACCTGTTTCTGGAGCTTTGAGACTTGAATGATGTGTGTCTCTGTGGTCTCTTCCACAATGGTTAGGCGTGGAGTAAACCCCCTAACATTCTCCCAGACTTGAGAGATTTCTGCTTAGAGATTCTGATGAAGATCAGACAGGAGACTTGTAAGAATTGCTGTAGTGACTGGGGAGATGGTCAACTGTGGGGGCATGGGTGGCCCTTTGTAGCCAAAGTTCTTCATGCTGTGGAGGGGGAGGTCATCAGATAGGTCTGAGAAAATGTCTAGGTCAGCTGCCATGTCAGACCTAACCTTGCCTCTGTAATCGATCCCTGATAATAGTGGAAAACTAAGGCTGATCCAACCGGAGCTTCTTAGTTTTTTGCTTCCAGGCACTTAGCACTTTGATAATGCCCCTTTGTGGAGCCCAATGTCAGACACTTTTGTGCCGTGGTAACTGAGTGCCGCAAACCTGCATCTGCTTGGACTGAGAGCTATCTCTGGGTCCCACCTGACTTTTAGAACACTTTAATGTAAACAATTGTGATGAAATTTCACTGTCAATTTTCAGAACACTTTGATAACTCTCACCCAGGTTGTTACATTGTCTAAGGGCCATATTGATAGGAACCATAGCAGATTGCATTTACAGGCTACCCTCATATGAAAAGAAATAGTGTAGAACACAATATATTAAACACTACTGGATGAAAAAAAATTGAACAATACAGAAATCCACTGAGTCACACCACACAAAAACAAAAGTTCTAGACTTTAGAAAAACAGACTTTTCTAAAATTAGAAAATGGGTAGAGGAGTCATTATCAGACTGGATCAATTTAAATGGAGTCCAAGAGAAATGGGATTATTTAAAAGTTGCACTATTGAAGGCAACAGAAAATTGCATTAGGCTTCTCAGTAAAAGCAAAAAATTCAAGAAACCACTGTGGTACTCCGCAGATGTGGCCAAAATAGTTAAAAACAAAAAGTTAGCATTTAGGAATTATAAAAAAACCCAGAGTGAGGAAGACAAAATGATCTACAAGATTAGGCAGAAAGAGGCTAAGCAAGTTATAAGAGCTTCCAAATCACACACAGAAGAGAAAATAGCACAGTCAGTAAAAAAGGGGATAAAACATTTTTTAGATACATAAATGAGAAAAGAAAAGTAAAACAAGGATTAGTTAGTTAAAAACAAAAGAAGGAAGGTATGTAGAAGAGGATAAAGGTCTAACTGACTGCCTCAATGAATATTTTTGTTCTGTATTTACAGATGAAAATGAAGGAAAGGGACCTCAGTAGAGAAAAAGGATAAATGAGTCATTTATTACACATGAGTTTACAGAGGAAGAGGTTCTATTTCAACAGTCAAAAGTAAAGACAAATAAGTCAATGGGACCTGATGGAATACACCCAAAGCTATTAAAAGAGCTTAGTGGTGTACTAGCAAAACCATTAACAGATTTATTTAACCAATCATTGTTAACAGGAGTAGTCCCAGAAGATTGGAAGTTAGCGAATGTTGTGCCCATTTACAAGAAAGGTAATAGGGAGGAGTCGGGCAACTATAGGCCAGTAAGCCTTACTTCAGTAGTGGGGAAATTGATGGAAACCATGTTAAAGGATAGGATTGTTGAACATCTAAAAACACATGGATTTCAAGATCAGAGACAACATGGGTTTACTTCAGGGAGATCATGCCAAACTAATCTTATTGATTTTTTTGATTGGGTAACTAAAATTATAGATCAGGGTGGTGCAGTAGACATTGCTTACCTAGATTTCAGTAAGGCTTTTGACACTGTTGCACATAGAAGGCTTATCAATAAACTGCAATCTTTAAGTTTGGATTCCAATATTGTTGAATGGGTAAGGCAGTGGCTGAGTGACAGGCAACAGAGGGTTGTAGTTAATGGAATATATTCGAAGCTTGGACTTGTCACCAGTGGGGTACCTCAGGGATCTGTACTTGGACCCATTCTCTTTAATATTTTTATTAGTGATATTGCAGAAGGTCTTGATGGTAAGGTATGTCTTTTTGCTGATGATACTAAGATATGTAACAGGGTTGATGTTCCAGGAGGGATAAGCCAAATGACAAATGATTTAGGTAAACTAGAAAAATGGTCAGAATTGTGGCAACTGACATTTAATGTGGATAAGTGCAAGATAATGCATCTTGGATGTAAAAACCCAAGGGCAGAGTACAGACTATTTTATAGAGTCCTAACCTCAACATATGAAGAAAGGGATTTAGGGGTGATTATTTCTGATGACTTAAAGGTAGGCAGACAATGTAATAGAGCAGCAGGAAATGCTAGCAGAATGCTTGGTTGTATAGGGAGAGGTATTAGCAGTAGAAAGAGGGAAGTGCTCATGCCATTGTACAGAACACTGGTGAGACCTCACTTGGAGTATTGTACACAGTACTGGAGACCGTATCTTCAGAAGGATATTGATACCTTAGAGAGGGTTCAGAGAAGGGCTACTAAACTGGTTCATGGATTGCGGGATAAAACTTACCAGGAAAGGTTAAAGGATCTTAACATGTATAGCTTGGAGGAAAGACGAGACAGGGGGGATATGATAGAAACATTTAAATATATAAAGGGAATCAACACAGTAAAGGAGGAGACTATATTTAAAAGAAGAAAAACTACCACAACAAGAGGACATAGTCTTAAATTAGAGGGACAAAGGTTTAAAAATAATATCAGGAAGTATTACTTTACTGAGAGGGTAGTGGATGCATGGAATAACCTTCCAGCTGAAATGGTAGAGGTTAACACAGTAAAGGAGTTTAAGCATGCGTGGGATAGGCATAAGGCTATCCTAACTATAAGATAAGACTAGGGAGTAATGAAAGTATTTAGAAAATTGGGCAGACTAGATGGGCCGAATGGTTCTTATCTGCCGTCACATTCTATGTTTCTATATTTCTGTTCTATTTACCGTTTTATTAAAGAATTACATTTTAATATTGTTTTCTTACAGACTTTTTTAATTTTTATATTTTTAGAATTTTGCATGGATCGTTAGTTAAAACAAATTAAATTTGGGATAGATAAAATAGAGTTTAAACTACAACAATAGTAAATTTTCTGACTGTTATTTGCCTATGTCAGTCAATTTATTTATTACACATTTTGATAGTGTTTTGACAAGATCAAGGTACATTTATTAGTGTAGTGCAATATTTAATGATTTGCCATGGAGACCAGGTTCTACACAGCTGTCCAATTTACCATGAGTGAGTCTCATTAACCTCTCATAAAACAACTTCCTTTCTTTTTGAATGATTTAAAAATATTTCTTCCTTTATAGCACTGAAGATTTTGTAAAAAAAATTCACTAAATTTAAAGAAGAGTCTGGGCACACAAGTTGTCTTCAAATAGACTTTAATAGGATCATGGTAATAATATACTAAACCTACAACCTACACAAGTTGGCTTCAAGCAAAAGTGTCTCTTCCCCTCAAGCCCTTTTTATGTATCACGTTCTCCCCCAGCCATTTTTTTGTGTCTCTCCCTAGCACCTATTTGTTTTTCTCCCCCTCAGCCCTTTGTGTTTCTACCCAAGTCCATTTTGGGTCTCTCTCCCAATCTGAGTGAATCTGCTGATTAGATCAATAACAGTCTTAATGCTCCTCCTGTTAACCGATAGACATTCGATTCACATTTTAGTGAATGGAACTGTACAGAGTATCCTCACTATTTGCCAACTCTGCATGTGTGCAGCCTTGGCTGAGATGCTATCAATAAGGGAAGTAGTGATGTTCCAAAATGTGTAAACATAGCTTGCTCCTCTCACAACCAAATATCTTATAGCTGGAAACATTTTATAAATGTCTGCAGTTATATCAACTTTGCAGGGAGAAAGGAGTGGGTACAAACTCACAAATTATCTATAAAATGTGTATAGTTCATCATGGTTATGAAGTGTCCCTTTAATGCAGACCTCTTATGTTTTACTTTGTGAAATTTCCTTTTTACTTTTCTTAGGAATGGCTAAAGATAGAGTGAGTAAAATATTTAACAAATTATATTAAACACATTTCTAAGCATGAGTTGTGATCCATTTTAACAGATAATTATGATAAAGATAATATTATAACTAATGATTCAAACATAATTCTTTATAATTTTTTTGTTTATTTTTTGTCAGACTGCATTGAAATTAAATGAATGGTGAAACTTTACTTTGGCCATAAAATATTTTATTCATCTGTTCAGACATTGCTTTTGATGCATTTAAGTTGTTCAACATTTGTATGTACACACCCAAAATAGAACAACATACACAGACAGTAACAAATATTGAAGTTTGCATTTGATCTCAACAAATTTAACAAATTGCAATATTTTAGAATTTTGGGCTAACAGCAGGTCATCTGAAATCCATAATTTAGAAGCGTCATATAGATGTATCACGAAGCAACACAAACAGAAAAAGGACTAACAGCTTAATTCGGGATTGATTCGTAATGCACAAGTCTAGTAAAAAAGGAGATCGGAACATTGACATTAGCAAAACGGCAGCTCTTTTAATATGTAGATTAAACATGGTCACCATTAAAATGGAAACAACGCCAAAAAAAGGAACCACTAAACTATTTCTAAGGCTTTGCATCGACTTTTCTGTAGACAATTGATCATGTAGAGGCTGAAAGGGTGCATGCATCAAGAACGATTCTTGAAAGGATCAAATTGATTTGAAATTGTGGAATTGTGATGATAAAACTCTTACATTTATCTTCAGCAAGCTTAAAAAAGCCTTTTCTTTCAGCTTAAATAAATGATACTGGTGAAAAGATCACTGGTTCTTTAGAGCTAATTGAAGAGTTGGCTGATAATCAAACATTGGCAGTGGCCATCTAAAGTCATTGTCCCGTCTGTGCCAGTTTTAGCCATTTTAATCCCCCTATGATCAATTATAAAATAATGTTTTATTGCAGATCCAAGTCATTTTTATGGAAACAATTCTTTAAAAAAATTACTTCTGACAAAATCGTCAAAAGATGGGAATAAAGATTTTAGGAAGATTAATACAAAGCGTCCAGCTTTTTCTGAATTGAAATATACCGAAACAGAGATTGTGCCCAAAGGAGGGTAGTCATGAAACATCTTTAATGTGACACTTCCAGAGTGTTAGTTTTATACGCTGTAATTAGCTCAGGACTGTGCCTCAGAATCGTTTATTGTATAAAACGAGGCTCTTTTATCTAAAGAATGGAAAGTCACAGTATGAATAGAAAGTCAACAATATCTTTAACTTTTCTAGTATCCCTAGAACCTTGTACTCTACAGTTTAACTGCTGTCTCTGAACTAAATGTAGAATTTGAAAAATTACGGTACTCAGGGGGGCTTATGTGAATAAATGTAAGTTGTTAGTGACTGTAAATGTGATTATAACTAGTTTTACCCCGTATTAAGTTACCCACTGTATATGTTTTTTAGACAAGGTCAGTTCTCTATATTTCCCTGTTTAGTGGGGACAAAATATACATTGAATATTGTGAAGGAATGCCCCATCACTAATACTATTCCCTTTTCGAACTCTATCATTCCCTTGATATACTCACTGTTTCGGTAATCGAATGAGGACCACCCCCACAGCTTTCTAGAATGTTAGAACCCTCAGTTAACCACTGTGAAATCAAAAGCAAACAACTAATGAATGCACCATCTTGTCTCCCGAATGCAGGCAGCAGTACTTGGTCGTCGAGTGCCTGGAACTGATTTCGGAAAGGCACTCCCGCAAACACCGGTCCATTCAAGTTCCCGACAACCCAGACGAACGGCGTTCGGGAGATGCAAACTACCGAATGGTGGGAGCATTCGATACTTGAAAACATTCGTCTGTTGTGTATGGTATTCATATAGAAGTCTGCAAATGGACACCGGCTGTTGCCACAATTCCTCTGGAACTATTTTGGGCTTCTACCTTGTGGATGGCCGGTCAAAAGGTTACCTCGATGACAATCCCGAACCACCAAACCGATCTGAGTGATTTTTGGATATGATGGTAACTCAGATCAGGGGATACTTTTGTGGTGTTTTAAAATTGTGTGTTTTTCTATTCCTGGAGATAATTGAGTTTGTACAGTTCCTGACTTAATTATCACTCAGGCACAGGGAAGGAGTTTACTGTGTGAATAAATTCTGAAGTTTTGCCTGCATTAAACAGATCTACTCCCAGCATTCAGTCTCGATTAATGTGTGAGGGTAATGCTATACTGGGTATAACTATTTACACAACTGGTTGGAGCTATTTTACTCTGGGAAAGGTAGCCATGGCGGCGATATACTGGCGGTCTGCCACAAATATACACTTACCAATCTATAGCAGATCCCTTGTTTCACAAACTTCAGGGCATTAAAACACTCTCATATTTGTACTTTTTTATCCGCATATTTGTTTATTAACTGTTGGTATCCCCTCCAACATCTATCATCTGGCGTTTTGTGCATATGATATAACTTCACAGGCATGGTATACCATCTGAGCATGGTCTTATATGACTGCTTTTGTTGGCTGACACAAACTGAAGTAGATTTGTTTGCTTCCCAGATGTATCTCCACTCTGTTCCCTCTAGTACCTCGCCATGGTCAGCTTCCCATTGGGCTGTGTAATGCAACTCCCCCCAGTCGGTGTTATTGATGCTCAGGTGGGCATAAATAGATCTGATGAGTTCCTTTGGAGGGTTTTCTTTTAAACAAAGTTTTTTGAAGCCAGTGAGTGTCTTGTGAGCTGCTTCTTTCACTAGTTTTTGTTGGGCAAAGTCCCTGATCTGGAGGTACCTAAAGAAGTCAGGGAGTTTTAGTGAGGCCCTTTCCTTCAGTGTCTCAAAAGTAATGAGTTGGTTGCCCCCATAAAGGTGATGTCACGGTTCTCAAAGCGCCAACAAGACAGCCAGGCAAGGTCGACCCATAGGTGCCAGACGGGATTTGAACCTGGACTCTTCTGTATCCTAAGTGCCTCTGAGCCCTGTTTACCTGGTATTGTCTGCAGCACTGGGGGCTGGACTTCACCTGTGGTTGCTGTCTATCACTCTAACTCCACCTGAGGCAGATTACTCATTATCCACCTATATAACACTGACTCTCCCTGAGGGCAGGATCAGTTCATTGTTTCATGTTTCCTGTTCCTGTTGCATTAGACTTTCTTGGCTTGTGACCCCTGCTTCTGGATCTTCGTTATTGCCTGTTCGCTGCCTGTCCTGACCTTTGGAACAGTGTCTGACTACCCTTCTGGATTTGCCCTTGTCTGTTTCCTCGTACCCGGTTACTGTTCCTGCCTAAGCCCCCGTGCACAGATTCACAGCCCAGGTAGCCTCTTATCTGGTTACTGTGGGCTGTGTTTATCTGCAAGGGTGAGCAAACATCTTTGCACTTCGGACTACTAAGGTAAGCCATGACAGGTGGATAGCGCTCTGTAAACCCATATATTCTATGTTTTTGTAGGGGGGGGATGCCTTATTTCTCAATATTGGCATCATTGGCGAGGGTGGGGAGGTCAATCCGTATTTCAGTGACGTCTTGTCCCAGACTCGGATGGAGTTCAATTTCGCTGGGCATAGTGTGCGTATGAGTACTCTATGTTCTCTGCGCTAAGTGTGCTGCCAAGTAAGCCTAGGCCGCCCTCTACTTTAGGTCTGTAAAGAACATTACGTGAGACTATGTGTCTCTTGTTCTGCCAGATACAATCTCCTATAGCTTTTTATAGTAGTGCTAGGTCAGATTTGGTAATAGGTAACAGTAACCCCTGAAAATAAAACAATAGTTTGGGCAATATGTTCCTCTTTAGCGAATGGACCCTTCCGATCCATGAGATTGGCCTGTGCACCCACCTAGCTAGGTCTCCATGTTAGGTCCTCAAGAGGGGTACATAGTTAGTGGTGTACATCTGCTTGGAGTCAGCTGTTAACTGAATGCCTAGGTATTTTATCGACTTATGTTCTATGTGTATACAATATTTGTCGCCGATGTCCGCCACCGACACAGCTATTGGAACAGCACTGGATTTGTTCAGGTTATACTTATATCCCGAGAGTTCCCAATATATCATGTAGTTCATGTGCCATTGATTCCTTGGGTTGTGTGAGGGTAAGCAGAACGTCGTCCGCATAGCTCGACAGTGTAAATCTCTGTCTGCCCACCGCTATACCCTGTATCTTTTGGTTTGTGCGTATGGCTGGCAATAGTGGTTTAACCACTTAAGGACACATGACATGTGTGACATGTCATGATTCCCTTTTATACCAGAAGTTTGGTCCTTAAGGTGTTAAGGAAGAGTACGAAGAGTAACGGGGAAATGGGGACAGAGGGCATCCCTGTTGTGTCCTGTTGCTTAATGTGAAGGGTGTGTTGGCTCCAGTTATCCTGATTTGTGCTCTGACATTAGTGTACATAGGATAAAATGCTTTTATTAAAAAAAAAAAATATATATATATATATATATATATATATATATATATATATATAGGGACTTTGTATTTTAATTTACTTTACAGAGCTTGCCAAAAGAGACAATGCTACCACTGACAGACTAGGTCAGGCCCTCTGTCATGTTCCTGATTTTCTAATTTCGTTGGAATTATACTTTGTTGCCTGTAGTGGCCGCCAGAGCTACTAATTCATTGAAAATGTTCCTGAGCCTACTCACCTGCATGTGAATGACTACCCTTGCTATAAAGAGCCACTCCCTGCTCAAAGCAGGGTCTTTATGTTGTGTTTTGGAAACCTAGAGAAAACACTTTATGATCTGACTCCGGAGACTATTCCTCATAAGTATTATACCTGCCTGAATGCTTCTGTCTATATTTGAATCTACCAAAGTTCCATTTCTGATCTTTACCTTGGAAACTTAATGATCCAAAGCCTGACGAGTATAATCCTTATCTCTCTACTGTAACGTGACTGGGACCTGAATACCTAGTTACTAAATCAAAGTTATTGTTTGCATATAACCTTATCTCCAAACTACTTACTACAAAAGAACCTACCAAGACAACTACAGTTTCATAGATACCTTGGATCTGCCTAAAGGAATACTTTCTTACAGTAAGCCCTTATGTTATTCAGAGACATTTCCTATTATCTGGACTAACCTGCCAATCATAGTTACCTGTTTATTTTCTCTGTAAATTTGTCCTGATTACTTGCCTTTTTTTGTCTGCTCTTTCTTGTTTATTTGCTTAATTATACAAAACCGTATGTTTACCTGTTATATTTAACCACTGCTCTCTTTTTTCTTTGTCTAATCTAGTTGTTTATTGTGCTTAATTGTATTTTGGGGAATATTCACTATATTAGGTTCATGTATTAATTTGTCTTACCCTCCCTGATCTTCCTTAAGTTCACCCTTTTCTTCCTATCTATTCTCAATATCTTATACTTCCTTATCTGATATACTCATATACTTGTGTATATATCTCTTAGATTATTGGTATCACTTCTAATTCCCTTTTCACCTCTATTCCTGATTCTCTGGTTAATTTTTTGACCATTTTGATTTCTTATTCACATTTCCCTCTATGTGTTTTATCCTTACTTGTTTGCTGCCCATGCTATGGGTAACCCTAAGAAAAGGGATAGAAATGTTCATCCTCTCGCAGCATTCTTGCCTGACCTGTTGAATAACCTGACACCCTCAGCCATCATTAGTGATTGCTGATGAAAAAAGGGCTGTTTCTTTGCGCATGCACAAGATGTTGGCTCTCGACTGATACATTTCTGGGAGCTGAAGAGCACATCGCAGATAAAGACAGGTTGAAAGTAAGTAAAGTGACAGGTTGAAGTAAGTAAAAAGTGCCTTCCCCTCACCCTCGTGTCACTGCACTGCACACGGAGCAGTC